CCCAGGATTTGAAGATAAACCCACCACTGTTGGTGAGGTTACCTTCGTTGTTACCTTTTTGCCACGGCAAGTCCTGGACGTGTGGCCATAGTTGCCACAGTTCATGCATGTGCCCCTGGCAACTCGGTCCCTCCACACCTCGTAATCTAAACCAATCTTCACCCGTGGAACGTACTACCTTCTTTTTCCCGGTCCCCCTAGCGTTTTCTTTGATGGGCGCCACGACTCCACCATCTGAAGTCTCACTACCCCCATCCTGCTCTGTCAACTCCCCAAGGTTTGGGAAATCGTCAATCTCAGTCGTTTGACCATCGTGGTCAACGAACCCTTCTTCTTCCAATCTTGGGGCAGTCTCTTCCTACCATCATGAGATGCCTTATGCGCAGATCCCAACTTTGCCTCTATGTCCAAAGCTTTCTTACTAAAAGTAGCGAAGGTGTGGTGTTCGACATAGGCTTCATCAACCAGCTTGGTCCTTACCTGTGGAGGTAGGCACCTTAGGTAATCCGTCAAGAGAACCTGCTGGTCAAAACGCACACCAGGTACCACAAGAAGGCGTTCTACGGTGTCTGTAAGCTCTCTAACATCCTTGAACCTGCGGGAACAAAGGTTGTTGATAGCATCGGTGGCCTTTTGAGCCCCTTGCGGGTCATGCCACCTGTTGTAGACGGACCGTACGAACTGTTCCAATGTCTGGACCTGAGCCCAGGCATCGAAATCTTGATCGTAGCCCTGTTGCTGCACCAGGCCATTCAACCAGCGAGTTGCTGACCCCTGTAGAAAGGAGGCAGCCACAACAACTTCTTGCTCTGGCCTTGTGAGCTTGTGCCTCACATAAGTAGGCACAGTCCTCACCCAGGTGTCTAAGTCCTCTTCCTTCTTCCTGTCACCAGAGAAGGGCTTGGGACTCAAAGGTATCTTGGGCATCCACTGCATAGGCTGCATGGGCCTAGGTGCTTGCTGCAGCGGCTACATAGCTACCGAGAGAGGCTGTGGCACACTAACCTGGGCCTGGCTTGACAGTGGGACTGTAGTGACCACTGTTGTAGATGGTACGACTTAGACTCTTTGAACCGGACCACTAACTACTCCTACACCACCAGGAGGGGGCATGCCAAACATAGGAGAAAAGGGTTGTCCCGTGGGTCGCGGCATCGTTGAAGGACCCACGCCCGCAGGGGGAACTACTGTAAACTGTGGCTGCCTCATCACTTGACGAGGAGCTTGGAGTGTATCCAGAATTCGTTTGTGGCGTGCCACTAGATCAGTCAATAGTTCATGTTGAACTGTTTGCGCTTCTGCTATAGATAGGACAGCATTACGCAGCACGCGTCCAGCAGGCTCTAATGTCGCCTCATCTTTAGTCTGCCTAGTGCCTCGACCCTACTCTCTAATCTGGCCTTCCTCATGGTTGCTTTTCTTCTCCTCTCTGATGCTTCGTCCAACTGCCGCCGTAACTCATCCTGAAGTTCTTCCGCTTTTTGGATTTCTATGTCCTCAGGTGTGAGTAGAACCTGTTGGCTGACTTGCAAGCCAATAGATTGACTAACTGCACCCGATCCACCCTGTCCATGTCCTGACGAAGAAGACTGGGAGGTGGACTGCGATGTCGAAGAGATGGTAGCCATCGCAGCCGCTGCTGCGTCCCTATTCCTTTTCGCCGCTGCCCTCTCCCTAGCTTCCCTTCGTAGTCTCCTTTCCTCTCCTGGACCTAACGCCAAGAAAGTCAAAGGTTGACGAAGAGCGGTTCTCCATGTGGTCCTAATGGATTGCACTAGCCTTTGCTCCTCCTCGCTGCTGTCTTCACTCATGAGCTACGGTGTGTGTGATCTAAACTAGAACTCACATTGAATCCT